TGACGATTGATAGGTGGCACTTGTGGAGCATTAGATGTTAGTGAAACAATTGCTTAATTTAATCTCTCTACTGTGCATGTTTAAATCCACTTAATATGGAATGTCAATAATGAATTTTACAACTAAAGGGAAATTGTGTAGGTGAGCATAAAAATAACGAGCATAATGTCTCTGAACGTCATAAACATGATTAATTTAGGAATATAAATATATTATATACACTGTATGTGGCTGGTAGTGATAGTGAATATAAAAAAAACAATAACAGTATTCCACTTTCTTCATAAACACTTTATGCATCAAAGTCTTCAATTCGGTCACTTCCTGTGGTTATTTTGAAAAGGCTTAATATGCTCATTTTGACTATATTACATTTATATACTTTATAAAAATCTATGTTTTCTATAAATACTTGCTGTCATTATTTCAGTAAAAAGTATACTTTTTAGAATCAGCATAATATGGAATATAATATGTAATCACAACTATTAATTTAAGGATCTAAATATAAAAAATGTAATAGCTGGTAGTATTACCGTATTCCACTTTCTTTGTAAACATCTGCATCCATTTCTTTGACTCATTCACTCATGATGAATTTAGAAACCTTCTGACCTATCCCTTTCAACAATATATCTGAGTGGTGCTTTGGTACAGTGGATTTCATGCATGCCTCTTAATGCAGAGGTCGGTGTTCAATTCACGCTTAGATCACAATTTGCCTTGCAACATCATGCAAGTTAGGCAGGGACACATCATTGTTTCTAATTTTTTATCTTCTGTAAAATAGCCGTAACTATAGTAGGGATGTAGCAGGTTCAGGATCTTTGATCCATTTTGTGGAGCAGATATTTTTTCGTTGGTTCACATGTGCACTTGGGCCTGTTTTAGTTTGTAGTGGTCCTATGTTATGTCATTTGCCAAACCACTTTATACCATACGGCAGTGGTTCTCAAACTTTTTGGACCAAGTACTACCCCTAATCCAACCAAAGTATCCAAGTACCACCTACAAGTCATCATCTCATAGGAACCCCAGAAATTCTCAATGACCAACATGAGCGCGCGTGCACACACACTCACACATACATATAATGAATATTATAATAATAAACTTTATTTGATATAGCACCTTTAAAGGTGGCTTCTCAAAGTGTTTTACAGAAA